TGTTGTGAGCAAGCGAGATATTCAATGGAGATCTCGTATGCTCCTCGAATCCTAGCGCTAGTCAATTTCGTCGGCTTCCCCTCGAAGGCCCTCTTCGCACAACATTATGCCTTGTCAATTGCGAATGACAAGCTTATTTAGCACATTCAAGTTTAGAGAAAAAAGAGTCGTACGGTGCAGGTTTAATATATTTTCATAAAAATATAGCCGCTGCGGTATTTCTAGCATAACGAGGTTACTACAGATTTAAGAAGTGAAAATGTGATTATGGAAAAATCAAAAAACTGCTCGGTCTTCGCCCAAGGTCTACTTTACGGGATAAAAATGCCATTTTGATCACTATGAAGAAATTACTGCATGATGATGGTAACACACTGAGCTATAAATTGCACATTTTGATCACCCAACAAACGAAATGGACATCAGCTACGCTTCCGAAAGATGTTTGCAAATCTGCGAAAGTTACCAAATGAACTCGTATTTTCCATACAATCATCCAAAAGAAAGACATCAGTCCAAAACTTCCAGATAAGTCCTGACCATGCATCAGTCACATATTTTCACCTTTATCATGCAGTCAAGAATAAGCATCACAAAGTTTTATGACATCCAACTTTCTAATCAAAGCAGCCATAAGTTTAAAGTCCATTTCTTAATAGGAAAAGTGTTTATATGCAGAGATACTCATCAATAGATTTTGCAAAGCTTTTGAGGAAGATTATACATGGTATTCTTCGCAATATTGTCAAAGTAGATATGTGGCTATTAGGCGTCGCTTCACTTACATCCTCATTTGTCCAAAAGTGTGATTTTGAAGTTTAGTACTAGTAACGTCATGCCCCAATGCTTATCTACTGATGAATAGAATTTTTGCGAACGAATCTAGGAAGATTTTTTTGACTGTGCCAAGATGCCACAGAGCGCGGATGATGTGAAGAAAGTTCCTCAGAAAAGCAAAATTGAACGATGCGGCCTGCTGCATAATGTGCGAGCTGGTAGAATGTGCAAAAATGTTTATTCAGATGAGCTTTAAAGAGAAGGCTCATTGGCGGGACGGAAATTAATCGTATTGTAATGGCCTAAAAAGAAATTTTGCCGAGATTTATGTGCATTTGAACTTTTCGGAAGAGTAATTTGCTGGAGAAATGAAAATGGTGCTTTAGCTCTGAAGAATGCAGCACATGCCGTTGAGCTACATGTTTTTTCCAAAACACCGAAACGATTGATATTCTCAGATACTTCTGCTACAGCATAAGGAACAAAAGGTCTTATTCTAAATGCAGAATGATGGAGCTTCGTTACTAGAATGAGGGCATTCGGCGATTGACGGTAGGTGAGGTAGTGATAAACAGTTTCATCGACATAAAATCCGATTACCCAAGACTAAAACGTAAAGAGCCTAGAAACTGTATATCAG